GATATTAAGTTGAGATATAAAGTTTTACATTCGTTGTCAGCTTTGTTCTCCGGCAGAGATCTACTGTTTATAAGTCTATCCGGAGCAGCCATTCTCATATTTAGAAGTGAATTGCTATTATTTTATGGACCAATATTACTATATGGTATTGTCGCAAGACGCGTGACGCTCCGTATTTCTTTGATCTCTGTTTTACTGGCGACTTTTCTCATAAGTGTGGGTGAGTATGATATGTAGTTCTACTAAATGGCTTAGCCATTTCTTTTATGATAGATTCTATCTTCTGGGGCCGTTGGCTTTGGCCAGAAGGCGAAGTCTTCTATTTCAACGCTATACTCAACAAAAGCGATCAATGGGGTGTATCCTTTTATGATACTCTGTATATGTACCAAATTTATTTTCTTAACCAATAATTTTAACTTAAAGACTGTGGCATTTCATTGGTATTTCACGAATGCTTTACCAAAAATGCTAGGGTCGTCGTGCGCATTCGTCGGTTTATGGCTTCTCCTAGTAGTACTTCGTCTGACGAATACCATGCCAAATACTATTTCGCATCTTCATCTCAGGAAGTCTTGTTCACTGGATGTGCGAGGTGTGGTTTTTGCGGCCATTACTTTTGTAATACTTTACTCATTCCTGCCTCACAAAGAGCTTCGCTTCATCATATACACCGTACCTATATTTAATTTAGCTGCTGCCGCCATTTGGACCGACCTGTAGGTCATATTTTCATCATCCCTATTTTCTCTAATTTCTTATTCGATGCCTTCTCGCTTACCTGTGAAAATTCAGTCTGGCTGTGAATATTTGGTTATTGCTCATGTGCTCCGTGATCCCGTCGGACCTGTTGGCTGCTACTCGTCGAATATTCTTAGCACACTGAATTTATTTAACGAATGTGAAGTCATTTACTACATTTTTAGACCCCTTCCGTAGCATTTGTTTCCCTGGTTGTTCAAGTCTGAGAAATGAGTATGAGAAAGCGTAGCAAGCCCAAGTTTAAGGCTACCATTGAAAATCTGAGTGTGCCAAATTCTAAGTGCATGAGTGTTTAACCTTGTAAATACAATTTTTAAATAAATAAAATCCTTTTACTTTCAACTTTGTCGCCAGAAAAACTCATACGTGTGCATGGCTCAAAACCGCCATTCTATTTAAAATGTTTGCAATTTTTTCATTTTACGTTTCTGCACATTTATAGGACCACTGGTTCACTTTTTATATTTGCCTTATGGAATTGGTACTCCTGATCATATTTCCCTATTGTACACGGATATATTCGCAAATAAAAATTTAGTTATTCCCATTAATGCTAACGTGCACACCTCTTCACTTTTTGAGAATCTAACATAATTCCTTTTAGTTTAGTTTGTCCAAACCATTCCTTCTCACCTGCTTGCGCTGTCATGATAATACTAATGTCCATATCGCACTTGATTTATCTAGAGAACAAGATAGCCAGTGTGCCCCTACTCCCCAGCTCACTTCAATCGGTAAGGCAAAAGCATCGGCCAAACTGCGTCCTACACAAAGAATCTTCCGCAAGCTTATGATTTGTTCATGCTATGCCCAACTGATTGTGAATTCATTGGTCACAGTCTTATTTGCTTATGCTGCATTAGGCAACTATCCTGGTGGTGAAGCCATTTCAAGACTTCACGACCTACCTCACCTGACAAATCTATCAGGTAGGATCTTAGAATAAACCAACCTGCACGGATGTGTCTTTATTTCTATCTGAATACCACCATATTCTTACCTTGTAGCTATACACGTCCACGTATGCAACTTGGCGGCACAAACGGGCGTAACCAGATTCTTGCATGAGCGGCCGGATTGGATGTAAGCGCATTTCAAGGCCCTATTATATTCTAAATAAGTTTGATTATATTCCCATATTTTATATAGATACAACAAAACAGAAGGAATAGAGGATT